TTTGTGATACTTGGGCAGAAACCAGGAGACGAAGAAACTCCAGCACATTCCTGATTAGAGCGTGTGATGGGCAAAAGTGTCGGTGCCTGCGATACCACCAAAGGATTCGTAATTTTACCTTATACATGCTGGGTTGTGGCTTGTAGGACCTGGTTGACACTGGAATTGAGCGCCTGGAAGCAAGGGTGGCACTAGTCTGGTTTTAAAGGCAGCGTCCGGAGACCGCCTTTGTATTGTATACTTTGGCTTGGTGTGACTGCATTGAAGCATGTGAGCGACATGCTCCAGCGGTGGCAGCGGTGACAGGATGGCCAGTGGCAAAAAGTCTTTTGACTCCTTCTGGCGCCTCGCTGTTCAATTCTCGAGTTGCTGTCCTCTGTCGCTGTCCGTTTGCTAAAAGGGTTCAATGCAAATCTACGTCATCAGTGGAGAACCCATTGAAGGAACTTCTCCGTGTGCTTGACCCAAAATGATGGACGGTGGCAGGCAAACCCCCGTCCTGCGTCGTTTGCCTCCTGGCAGACGATGGAGATTTGACCGCCTCCCATTACTGCTTCCAACCTGGAGTCCTCGTGTCCGGAGCGAAGTCGATTTGCCTGCGTTGATGTGAGTGGGCGCCTCGACGGACGCTGACGACCTCCTCGCTTCTCCGCCATGACATCTGCACTGCGGCTTGTTCTGGCTGCGCTCTGGGCATTGTTATGTACCTACCCGGGCGTGGAAGGTCAAGGTCAAGTATCAATTAAAACGAACGGGACAGGCCCGTTGTCTCAATACAAATCTGTAAGTCTGCCCGGAGACCTGCGCCTCTGCTGCTGACGTTGAAGGCAGAGACCTGACATTTACGCGCCTTTCCTGAATATATCTCTGTTCGACGAAGACGCGGTGACTCCTGGATATATTTTCCTCGGTCCATACCAGACATTTCAAGAGGCTATCTACATCTACGACAATAGAGGGGTCAGTGCTGCAGTTGGACGAATCAAAGAGGGAGAAATACTGATCAGTGGCAGAACTTGGTGTATTCGGGATATGGCTCAACTGGTGGTGGCCCTAGCCACAATTTCCACCTCTGCAAAATCAATGGGACAGACAATCTTTGCTATATAACCGGAGGCCAGAATGTCGGATATGCTCGAGGCTACGCTGTGGTCTTAGACGACACTTTCACGACCAAAACGTCGATCCATTCGCAAGCGGGTGTGGCCAATTTTGACGAGCATGAATTCAATGTCCTCCCCGACGGGTCGTCGCTATTCACGCTTTACAATCCGGAGCACTATGATCTGTCGGCCTACAATATCACATCAGGGCAGGGTTGGATTATGAACAACTTCTTTCAACATATAGAGATTGGGACCAGTCGATTGCTCTTCGAATGGTCTGCACTGGATCATGTACTGCCCAATGAAACGTTCGTGCTGCCAGACACGACAGAGGTTTCGGGGGATGGCTTTGGACCGACAAGCCCCTGGGACTATTTCCATATCAACAGCGTCGATCAGAATGCAGACGGAGACTATCTGGTCTCTGCACGCCACACCTGTGCCCTGTACAAGGTATCAGGACAAGATGGGCACATCATTTGGCGCCTGGGTGGAATCGCATCCGACTTCACCTTCCCAGCAGGGCTTAATTTCAGCTTCCAGCATGATGCAAGGTTCCGTGAGGAAAACGAAACCACCACCATCATCTCGTTGTTCGACAATGCGTCGAACGGGTACAACCAGACTGCCCGCTACTCTTCTGGTTTAGTCTTGAAGCTCGATCATACCACAAACTCGGTCACACTTCTCAAGAGATTTATTGCGCCATACCAATTTATCTCCCAATCGCAAGGCAACCTGCAGGTCCTTGGAAGGAATCAAGAATGGTCGACTTCCAATGTGTTCATGGGATGGGGCAAAAACGCGTTCATATCTGAGTACGCACCCGATGGGCGAATGGTCCAGCAAGGACATTTCGCCACAGAGGGATCGATGCACTACCGCGCCTTCAAATACAATTTCACCTCCAGTCCGACCGATGCACCTGCTTTGTACACATATGCACACAATACTAGTGCGCCGACATCGTACTGGATGAGCTGGAACGGTGCCACGAAGGTTGCTCAGTGGCGCGTTTACTCGAGTACATCGCGCAACGGGCCGTGGACGGTGGTGGGCACCGTCCCTCGAAATGGGTTCGAAACTATGTTCACTGGACCCAACTACTATCCTTGGAGTTTAGTCGAAAGCCTTGATGGTAGTGGCAACCTGTTGAGGAACAGCACGAGACCGATCAAGACATTTGTACCCAGCGCGGAGCTGGCTGCAAACTGCAATGGTTTAGGATGCCCGACGGCTAGCACTGATAGCACTGGATCACAATCCTCGAGCCAGCCGAGCGCCGCGGCGACCAGTTCGAACGCTGGTGCCTTGATACAAAAACGAAGCGGTGTGGACGGCAAGCTGGGATTCGCTGCCATGTTTGGCTTTGGAGCCATGATGATATAGAACATCATCCGTGCGTGCAAAATAGATCACGAAACTCCCACATCGAAGTATCTATGTGAATCTAGCCAGGTTTCGTGATCTAAGAGGCGCGGTGATGCCCATTTCTGTATGACGCTTCCTCGCGCAATAAACCCTTTTGAGCACCTCGAACGAATCCCAGGATGAGGTATCTCGTACTATTTCCCCCCTTTGGATGAACTCGTATCGAATTGGGGCTAATTTTTGCGGTTCGCCGAGATGTGGCACTCTTGCGAGCCGCCTTCGGCCGTTAAAGCTATGCGCGGGCCCGAAAAAGAAAACTTTGGCCACAACTCACACCACTGGAGTTCCGGGCGGGATGTCCCTGGGGAAGGATTGGCCGGTGGATAGGACTGCCCGCTGAATTAATGCATGGGCCCGAACTTTGAAATTCCAAACGTCCAGGAACACTTCGTCATGAGGCCGTCGGGTCCAATGGCCTGTACTCGTAGGTTGAAGGGCGTCACATTTTCTTGAGCCGTGAAACAAATATTACTAGGTGAGTCAGCCTCAAATATAAGATGTAGTTGAGTCCAGGCAGCAACTGTTCGCTGGTTTGATCTTTCTCGTACACTACGAAAGAATTACAAGTGCAACTCATCGAAAGTCAAGGGCGTCATAAGAGCCTCATCACGACTATTTGTTACCAGCAGGAAGCGTGCTTTAGCACGTCCAGACATCAGTCCATCAGGATTCTCTCGAACCCGACATTACACTCATATCGAATACCAACTTATTTCAAGCCACCTGACAAGGCCCTTCACTCCGATGCCGTTCAGTCTCGCCATCATCGGCGCGGGCCCCGCGGGCCTCACGCTTGCCCGCCTCCTACAAGTTGCATCTGTCGACATCTCCATCACTATCTTCGAAAGAGATGCCAGTCCCACATCGCGATCCTTTCAGGGCGGCTCACTCGACTTACACACGGACACTGGTCTCGCTGCTCTGAAAAAGGCAGGGCTGTGGGAAGAAGCGCTCAAATACCTCCGTTACGAGGGGGAGGAACTGTTCATCGCCGACAAGAACGATACGATCATCATCCACATGAAGAGTCAGCCCAATTCCAAGAGCAGAGAGTCGCAACTGGACTATGAGAGACCCGAGATAGACCGGGAGGTTCTGAAAGAGATGCTGCTAGAGAGTGTTGAGAGCGACTGGGTGAAATGGGGAAAGACGCTACAATCGATTGAGCCTAACAGCGGTATCCTGACATTTCGCGACGGTTCGACGGCCGGCCCCTTTGACTTGGTCGTCGGCGCTGATGGAGCGTGGTCGAAAGTTCGACACGTCTTGTCTGACGTGAGGCCACACTATGCGGGCATCTGTGGCTTTGAAAGCCGCATCGCGAGACCGAAAGAGGAGCACCCAAAGCTGTCAAAGATGGTTGGCAAGGGCAGTTACTTTTCATACTCGGACGGAAAGTGTTTGACTGCGCAAAGAATGGGCGATGACTCGATCAAGATCGGGGCCTGGGTGAAGAAGGAAAATGACGAGAACTGGGCTACATACCTGTTGGCCACTTATGGTGACAACGAGGAGAAATTAAAGGACAGAATCCTCGAAAATTACGAGGACTGGACGCGCCAACAGAAAGAGCTGATCCGTGTTAGCACTCGATTCCGTGCTTCGCCACTCTACGAGTTACCCGTTGGGCATATCTGGGACCACAAGAAGGGGTACACCCTCATTGGAGACGCTGCCAGTCTGATGACGCCGTTCGCAGGGGAGGGGGTGAACAAGGCGATGAAAGATTCACTCGAGCTGGCCGAGGTCCTTGAGCAAGCTCTGAAGGAGCAAGGCAACGTGGACGAAGCGGTACGCAAGTACGAAGAGAACATGTTCCCTCGGGCAAAGAGGTACCAGAAAAAGACCATGACAAATAAACAAGGCATGTTCAGCAGAGAAGGACCCGTGACGTTTCTGGTCGGCATGATTGACGGCGCAGCGGAGGAAATGGGCAAGGATCTCAACAAGGGATGGATAGCCTGGGTTCCCTTGAAGACGATGATGTACGCCTATGTGGTGTCGATACAGACTTTGGGAGCCTGGAGGAGGAGGGTGAGAGACTGGTTTTCGAGGGGTTGAACTAGCGGGTGTCGTGGGTTAAGGTAGTCTGTTTTTTGATGTCTCAGATACCCAGATCGGTTCCTCTTAGGATGTATATAGGTTCAGGAAGACCACAGACTGTATGAAAGTTAAATGGCGCTTGTGAGTATCTTGTTAGTATCTTGCATGGCACCCACATGAGTGGGTGATGAGGTATGTATCCGTGGGTTATGTCAGAATTGCATATATCTCGAGTTTTGATCCACCGTAATCGAGGACCAGTAATCACTCGTGATCTGATTGGTGGACACCCTGCTGTCGTCAATGAAAGCTGCAACCCGCGAAACTTCAAAGAGCTTCTTGTCGACGCCACCACCTCCATCTCAACAACGCTGCCTTTCGAGTTTTAGAGCTGGGACCTGCTCGACGGGTTGTGGCAGAATGCGGTCTCAGCTTCTTCGCGCCGCCGGGCGCACAAGACCTTTGCTGACCTCAACAACGAAGCAAGCGGCGACCAGGACGTTCACCTCCTCGGCCAGACGGAATGCCGAAGTCGAACTCACCATCGATGGCAAGAAGGTGTCGATAGAGGCTGGATCAGCTTTGATCCAAGCTTGTGAAAAGGCGGGCGTGACGATACCTCGATACTGTTACCATGAGTACGTCCTTGGAACCCTAGCGCGGCACACAATGCCCGTTCAGTGCTAACCGGTGATCGATAGAAAACTCCTCATTGCCGGAAACTGTCGTATGTGTCTAGTCGAAGTCGAACGAGTCCCCAAACCCGTCGCATCGTGTGCATGGCCCGTCCAACCCGGCATGGTTGTCAAGACCAATTCGCCAATGACCCACAAAGCAAGAGAAGGCATTATGGAGTTCCTGCTGGCCAACCATCCGTTGGACTGTCCTATCTGCGACCAAGGTGGCCAGTGCGATTTACAAGATCAATCCATGAGATACGGTGCCGATCGTGGCCGTTTCCACGAAGTTACGGGCAAGCGTGCTGTCGAGGACAAGAACCTTGGGCCTTTGATTAAGACTTCGATGAACAGATGCATTCATTGCACGAGGTGTATTCGGTTTGCCAACGAGATTGCCGGTGCTCCGGAGCTGGGTTCTACAGGCAGAGGCAATTCATTGGAAATCGGCACATATCTTGAAAGGAACCTCGACACTGAACTCTCAGGAAACGTGGCTGACTTGTGCCCTGTTGGTGCTCTCCTGCCTAAACCAGGGGCTTTCAGCTATCGGCCTTGGGAACTTACCAAATTTGAATCAATCGACGTTCTGAATGCTTTGGGCTCAAACATCCGAGTGGACGCCAGAGGATTGGAAGTCAAGAGAATACTACCCAGACTGAACGACGATGTCAACGAAGAGTGGATCGATGATAAGACCCGTTTTGCTCTTGATGGCTTGAAGACGCAAAGATTAACGACACCGCTGATCCGAAGGGATGATAAGTTCCTGCCAGCCACATGGGAACAAGCTCTAACAGAAATCGGCAACGCGTACGCCCGGCTCAAGCCTGGCGAGAACGAATTCAAAGCTATCGCTGGCCACTTGGTCGAGACTGAATCCCTGGTTGCCATGAAAGATCTCGCCAATAAATTGAACTCAGAGAATCTCGCTCTTGACCAGCCTGGAGGTAGCTCACCGATTGCCCACGGTATCGACATCCGAGGAAATTACCTTTTCAATTCCAAGATCTTTGGTATTGAAGAAGCCGACAGCATGCTCATTATTGGAAGCAATCCCCGTTGGGAGGCAGCTGTCCTTAACGCCCGCATTCGCAAACAGTGGATGCGTTCGCCGCTTGAGATTGGGTATATTGGTGAACCCTTTGAGAGCACGTTCGAATTCGAGCATTTGGGCACCGACGCTGCAGCAGTCAAGAAAGTCCTTTCCGGTGAATTTGGAAAGAAATTGGCGGAAGCCAAGAGACCTATGATCATTGTAGGCAGCGCCGTCGCCGAGCACCCGGATGCAGCAGCGATTTTCGAGTCAGTGGGTTCCTTCGTGGACAAGCACCAGGCCAACTTCAACACTCCGGAGTGGCAAGGATACAATGTCCTTCAGCGGGCGGCTTCCAGAGCAGGAGCTTACGAGGTTGGCTTCACCGTTCCATCTCAGAAAGTTGCCGAGACAAAACCCAAGATGGTCTGGTTATTGGGTGCAGATGAGATATCCGAGGCTGATATCCCCAAGGACGCATTTGTTGTTTACCAGGGTCACCACGGTGAGACTGGTGCACAGCTCGCGGATGTCATTCTTCCTGGTTCTGCATACACCGAGAAATCCGGAACCTATGTGAACACTGAGGGCCGGGTGCAGATCACTCGCTCTGCGGTCGCAATACCCGGAGCGGCACGGACGGACTGGAAGATTATTCGAGCAGCATCCGAGTTCTTGGGTGCCCCGTTACCATATGACGATTTGGAAGTGTTGAGAGATCGTCTCGAAGAGATTTCGCCGGCGCTACGGAGATACGACACCCTTGAGCCACAGACTTTGACTGGGTTGAGCAAAGTACAGCTTGTAGATGCGAACAAGGGCTCTAAAGCTACAGGACAGAAGTTGGAGCTTCCCATCAAAGACTTCTACCAGACGGATGTGATTTCAAGAAGGTATGTCATACACCAGCGCGCCCAGCCGAATCCCATATAAACATTAAGATACTAACGATGCTCTAGCTCACCGACAATGGCTCGCTGCAGTGCAGCAAAGGAGACGGGTAACCCTGAGACCAACTTCATGGCCCCAGGTGAGCCAAACGCACAAGTTTCGTACGGTTAAATATAAATTTGGTGCATTGCCCTCTTTTTTGGGCGGACGACGTCCACGGCACTACATGGACAGTCTCAGAAGAGATTTGGCGAACAACGAGCGGAGGCCAGAAGAAAGACATCAACGGGATGGCACCACAGTGGAGAGGAAGACGGTTGGTGGGTGCTTCTAAGGGACCACAGATTCTGGATGGTAAAACGGCTTTAAACAGAGCCTCGAGCCCCTTCCACGAGCAGGAATATGAAGCCAGAGGTCTATTCTACTGCAACCTGATTTCTCTATGATATGGCTTCTGTTCAAGGAGCGTATAGGCATTCAAAACGGCGTTGTTGTAACTGACCAAGAATCATTCAATATGTACATATCAAGAGATAAAATCAATATTGAGCATCCTCAAGAACCAGCCTTTGATCATGGAGGTGGAGTGACCGTGCAGCAAAGCCATCCACTAATATTAATGTGATTGATAGATTTGGGAAGGCTGAGCTGGACCTTCATGATCCTTCTACGACGACGTCCTTGCTCGTGTCCAACTCCTCAAACCTTCTCAAATCCATTTCCCCTTCCAGGAGCGGCTTGACGTACGGGTCAAAGGTCTTCCAGTACGGGTTTTCCAGGTGATACTTCTGGCTGCTTTCCTGCCTGTATCTCTCGACGATGGTGAAATCGCGTTCGTCATGGACAGACTGCATGACGAACCACGACAGGGTCTCTTTGTCTTTGGAGTACACCCGGGAAGCCTCGATGAGCTTGTTCTTGAGCTTTTGGATGATGGCCGGGTCGGAGGATTTGGCGCGGAGGTGGACGGTTATGGTGTAGACCATGTTTGCTGGCGGATGGCGAAAGCTCGAGGTACTAGAGGCAAACCACGGTGCTGTATGAAGTGAAGCAGGACCAAAGGATAGCCAAGGGTTCTTCCCGCGGCAGATATAAGTAGTATCCCTAGTACCTAAACATCGTCAATATTTTCCTCTTCAGCTCAACAAACCCCGCCTGACGGATTGCCTGATTGGGTGTTCATGAAGTCAGAGCAGGTCTGATGGGATAGGCTGGCGACTGACAAGGTTCTGTGCGGGTATAGCCCTGAAGACTATGTAGCCGACATCTTCAGATAGCCGTAAGGCACTGTAGATATCTAGCGAAGCCTTGGGAACCCCGGAAAACCCGGTAGCCCTTGGGATTATGGCATTGAGATCGAAGTGACGGAAAGGAAGATGGACGTATCGACGACGCACGTGGGTAGCGAGGATTGGCGGATCTCAGCCAGTCAAGCTTTTGAGCTTGACTATGACGCCCATGCAGTGCAACTTTCTCGCGTCTTTTCTCTCGCTTTCTCCGCCCTCGCGATCCTCCCATGGCTCCCTCCCCACACCATTTATCCTCGTTCTCGGGCCCTTTGTCGAGTCTCTCGAACATTGCGATAGATGACTACGGCTAAGAGGCAGGATGCGCTGATGCAGAGGCCTGCAATCGCGCCATGAAGTTCGCAAAGTAAGTCCTACGCCTGTATTGACAACAACGCCCTTCTATCAAACCGGAAATCTAACCGTGGTAGGGAATTGGAGGAAGAAGCGGTTCCGGAATGGAAAGCCAAGTACCTGAATTACAAGGCAAGTCGCTCTGGGTGCGAGTGGAGTCGCTTTACACTGACTGTGACTGCTCGCAGGTGGGAAAGAAGAAGATCAAGGCCATCTCGAAGGCCCTCAGGAACCTCCAGAGAACACCCGGCACTGAACCCCGTTCTGCAAACCTTGACGCCTTCTCAGGCCCGCGCACACCCTTCACCCACTATGACTTCAACCTCCACCGGCCGCCTACCGCGAGGTCGACCCAGTCCCTGCCCGAGATAGAAGAGATCGGCCCAGATGAAGACGAAGATGAAGAGTTGGGGGACAGACCCCCGATGCCCCAGCGGCAAAGTCATACCATGTTCGCAGCGTCTCCCCCTATATACATCCCCAGGGCGCCGGTCGACAGTGCAGAGACGCCGCCAGAAAATACGCCGCTTCATCCCAGTCAACCCGCGCGGCGAGTAATGAGTTATGGTTCCATTGTTGGCACGCCTCCAGATGAGACACCGGGTATGATGGCCGCCCTCGAACTTCCAGATCCCGCCTTGACCCCTGCACGGTCGCGGCCACCCACAGAACTGGAATCCAAGTCCCAGGAAACGTCCCTCCGACTCCCTCCACCAGCCCAAGTTCCACCTGCACCCGATCCGTACCATGTCGGACCGACACATCACCCGCCTCTCGCCAGACACAGCATCGCGGGAAGCTTAGCGAAGGCCATGTTCAAGCGGCGGCAGGAGGTCAAAAGTCAGTCCGTCTCCGGACCGCTGCAGAGGACGAACTCGCTTTCAGCATCGCAAAGGTTCCGCAAGATGTTCGCTCCCCGTGATCTGACCGAGGCCACCGTCAACGACATGCAGCTCTCGGCGTATCAAGAGCTCGACGAGAAACAGGCCGATTTCTTTGCATACCTGGACAAGGAACTCACCAAGATTGAGGATTTCTACAAGGCGAAAGAAGACGAGGCCACTGAGCGTCTGCAGGTGCTCAGGGCGCAACTCCACGAAATGAGGGATCGACGAATAGCGGAAATCATGAGGGCGAAACACTTGAATGGTGGCACGCAACCGTCACATCTAGACGATATACGAAAGCAACCTCCGGACGTGCTCAAGGAGAATACCAGGCCCAACGGAAGTGGTAGTCACTTCATTCCCAAACCAATCGGAGATGTCATGGGTCGTCGGTCTACAATCGGCAAGACCAGTCAAGCCATGGCACAGATGAGTTCCCCTCCAGGACCTCAAGCTCAAAAGAGGATCAACGAAGCAAAGAAAGATTACGTGCGCCGCGAACACGGCAGCGAAATCAAGTATTCGGTCGCAAAGAAGAGGCTGAAGCTTGCGCTGCAGGAATTCTATCGCGGGCTGGAGTTGCTCAAATCCTATGCCTTGCTGAACAAAACGGGCTTCCGTAAGATCAATAAGAAGTATGACAAGGCGGTCCAAGCCAGACCTCCGTTGCGATACATGACAGAAAAAGTCAACAATGCCTATTTCGTCACGAGCGACGTGGTTGACAATCACCTTATGGCCATCGAAGATCTATACGCCCGGTACTTTGAGCGCGGCAACCACAAGGTCGCTGTTAAGAAACTGCGATCGAAGATAGGCTCCGGGGATCAGTCGGCGGTGACATTTCGTAACGGTCTATACGTTGCAGCGGGCAGTTGTTTTGGGGTGGCTGGCCTTGTCGACGCTGCCTTTCGACTGGACGATCCGAGGATGTCCGTGCAGACCAGTTACCTCCTGCAGCTATATGCCGGATACTTTCTCGTCGTGATCTTGTTCTTAATGTTTGTTCTGGACTGCAGAATGTGGAATCGAAACCACATCAACTACGTCTTTATTTTCGAGTACGACACCAGACATGTGCTGGACTGGCGTCAACTGGCGGAACTACCTTGCTTTTTCCTCTTCCTCAACGGTCTATTCATCTACCTCAACTTTCGGCACAGCTCTTACGATTGGTTCTACGTCTATTGGCCGCTGATTCTCATCGTCCTGACCATGCTCATCATATTCCTCCCTTTTCCGATCCTGTATCATAATGCGAGGAAATGGTGGGCTGTCACAAACATGAGGCTCGCCTGTGCGCCGTTCTATCCGGTCGAGTTCCGAGACTTCTACCTGGGCGACATGTACTGTTCGGAAACGTACGCTATGGGTCAGATCGAAGTCTTCTTCTGCCTCTATGTCAACGATTGGAACAACCCTCCACAGTGCAACTCCAACCACTCACGCTTACTGGGGTTCTTTGCCGCCTTGCCCGCGGTCTGGCGAGCGTTACAATGTCTGCGCCGTTACTATGATTCACGAAATTGGTTCCCTCATCTCGCCAACTGTCTCAAATACTGCGGCAATATTGCTTATTATGCTACACTGTCGATTTATCGGATTGACATGAATCACACAACTTGGTCCATATTTGTCACATTTGCGCTTGTGAATGGAGTATATTGCTCCTTCTGGGATGTGTTCATGGATTGGAGCTTGGGCGACTTTTTTGTGCAAAAGTATCCCTTCCTCCGAGAGCGGCTCGCCTACAAACAAGTGTGGATATATTATGCTGCGATCGTGGCGGATGTATTGCTTCGACAACAGTGGGTGTTTTATGCCATATTTACATCCGACGTGCAGCATTCCGCACTCATGTCCTTCTTTGTCAGTCTGGCCGAGGTCATCCGACGGGGGATATGGTCCCTGTTCCGGGTCGAAAACGAGCATTGTAACAATGTTGGGAAATTCCGTGCTTCCCGGGATATTCCTCTACCCTACGACATACCAGACTCACGCATGGTATCTCCAACTCAGAGGCGCCAGACACCTACCACTCCACGTCCTACCGAGCCTGAAGAACATATTGCCACTGGCGTGGATCTAGAAAGCGTGCCTTCGCTAGATGCATCGCTTCGTCAACGTCGCTCTCCGGGCATGCCTCGAACACCCGCCATGCGGGCTCTGCAACGGATGGGAACTATTATTGGGACCGCCCACGCGCAAGACTTTGAGAGGCGCAGGAAACCAGATGATGAGAACAATGAAGCCGACGATGAGCGAGATGGAGGTCGCAGCAGCGATGAAGAAGACGACGAGGCCGAAGCAAGCGGAGGAGAAGAGGAAATGGCGGAATTGGAGAGACAGAGGGCGCAGCAGGCTACAGAACTTGCGGAGGCGAATCGGTTGGCGGAAAATGGGCTGAGACGTACTCGATAGAGTCGATGGCCTGCTCGGTACAACCAAAGGTCAATGCGATCAGAAACCATACGAGGTAGTGAACAGAACATGTATGATGCATCAAAGGTAATGCTCGAGAGACATCGATTACCAAAACGAAGAAGACCTTGGGGTAAGTGCAGATACTGTGCGTCGTATAGTTTCTCTCTCACACTGCATCCTCTTCGTGAACATGCTCTCATTTCCATCTGGGCTATAGCTG